TTTTTGAGAGAGAGAGAAAGGCAGGGAGACAAGCAGACAGAGAATCCTAAGCAGGCTCTGCACAGGGCTCAAACCGATGAACTGATGATCATGAACTGAGCTGAAACCTAGAGTCAGATGCTTAGCTAACTGAGCCACCCAGGCACCAAGAAAGAGGGGAGGAGAGAGAGAGAATGAGAATATAATTTCTGTGTACTTAATGGTTTTGTTGTTGTAAATATCTTTTTATCAGTTATGTTTTAAAACTCTTGCGGGGTGCCTGGGTGGCTCAGATTCTCTCTCACTCCCTCTCTGCCTCTCTAACGCTCTCTCTCCCTCTTTCTCAAAATAAATAAAGTTAAAAAAAAAAAAACCTTAAAATTATTTTGCTGGCATACAGGAAAGCATTTTTGTGTGTTTATCTTACATTCAGGAACTTAAAAAAAACTCTTATTCTAATAATTTGTAGATTTTCTACATTGGTGGCCATAGTTTAAATAATGTCAGCTTTGCTTCTTTCCAGTTCTGTCTCAATTCATGCCTTACTCTTCTTTCAAACAGAAGCAAGCTTGACTTTAAAGGAGATGCTTTTGTGGTGTCATCATCATGTATGATGTTTGAGGGTTTTGTTTTGTTTTGTAGTAGAAATATATCCTTTATCAGTTTAAAAAAGGTCCCTTAAATTTTCATAAACTCCCAAGTTTGCTAGGAGTTAGTATTGAATTTATCATATGCTCTTCCTGAGCAGATGTTAGGATACACATATTTTGTCTCTAATATGATGAAATATACAAATATTTTTTTTACTGAGAGACCATTTGTTAGAATGGTTTTTGATTTATGGTAAAATTCAGAAGCACAGGGGTGCCTGTCTGGCTCAGGTACAGCATGTGACTCCTCATCTCAGGGTCATGAGTTCAAGCCCCACATTAGGTGTAGAGCTTACTTAAAAAAAAAAATCAGGAGTACAGAGAAATCTTGTTTATCATGCTACATCTCCCTCCCCAGTTTTCTCCATTGTTAATGTCTTATTACATGATATTAGTATGGTACATTTCCTGTAATTATGAATCAACACTGCTTTATTTTTTTGTTTTTTTTTTAAGATTTTATTGTATTTTTATTTTATTTCAGAGACAGGGAGAGAGAGAGGGTTCATGTGGGGAAGAGGGGCAGAGGGATAGAAAGAGGATCCCAAGCAGGCTTCACGCTCAGTGTGGAGCCCCGTGTGGGGCTCATCCCGTGAGATCATAACCTGAGCCAAAATCAAGAGTTGGGACACTTAACCGACTAAGCCACCCAGCTGCCCCATCTTTTTTTTTTTTTTTTTAAGTAATACCTGCCAGTAGTAAAAACTAAAACTGTAAAATGATATGCAATGAAGACTTTGATCTATTAGATTTCTGTTTAACCAAATCATTATCACCATTCTGTAAAAAACCCATTGACTGATTTTCCCTCCTCCATATGACAGTTTATTTATTTTTAAATTAATTTATTTTTATTTTTTATTTTCATTAAAAAAATTTTTTTAATGTGTGTTTATTTTTAAGAGAGAGAGACAGAGTGCGAGTCGGAGACGGGCAGAGAGAGAGGGAGACACAGAATCTGAAGCAGGCTCCAGGCTCTGAGCTGTCAGCACAGAGCCTGACAGGGGGCTCAAACCCACGAGCCATGAGATCATGACCTGAGCCAAAGCTGGTTGCCTAACGACTGAGCCACCCAGGCACCACTTTTATTTTTTTTTAACATTTATTTATTTTTGAGAGAGAGAGAGGGAGCGAACACGCATGCATGTGAACGGGAAAGAGGCAGACGCAGAGAAGGGAGGCAGATGATCCAAAGCAGGCTCGTCACTGTGAGCCCAGAGCCCGATGCAGGGCTCAGACTCCTGAACCTGTGAGATGGCCTGAGCTGAAATCGAGAGCTGGCTGCTTAACCGACTGACTGAGCTACCCAGGCGCCCCCATATGACGGTTTATAGCTGGTGATAAGTTACTGTTAGAAAGCCTGTGAGTTTCTGCTATGTCAGTAGTTTTGCTTTACCAAGAGTTAGTTCTGTTATTTGACAAATATGATTATGCCATTTGTAATTATTGTACAGACTATATTATAACAGTTAATTCAGCTAATTGGAAAAAGTGTTGCAGTGGGGAATGTGAGTAATGAACAAAACGCTATACTTTAGGGGTGCCTGGGTGGCTCAGTTGGTTAAGCGTCTGACTTGATTTCTGCTCAGGTCATGATCTCACTGTTCATGGTATTGAGCCCTGAGTCAGGCTCTGTGCCAACAGCGTGGAGCCTGCTTGAGATGTTCTCTCTCTCTCTCTCTCTCTCTCTCTCTCTCTCTCTCCCTCCCTCTCTGTCCCTGCCCCACTTTCAGATGAACACTGTTTCTCTCTCTCTAAATATAAAATAAACAAACGTCTTTAAAAAAAGATATATACTTTGATTGTATTTAAAAGTAGTAACGTAAATTGTATCTCTTGTGATAGAACCATGACTTTTTCTTTGAGAATGAGTCCAGTGATCAGAGTTCTGACTTCTTTCTTTCTTTTTTTTTCTTAAGTAAGCTGTATACCCAGTGTGGGGCTTGAACTCATGACCTCGAGATCAAGAGTCAAATGCCTTACCAGCTGAGCCAGGTGCCCCCTGACTTCTTTCTTGCATAAACCACACCTATAAGACATTGCTTATGATTTCCATCCCTCCCTTCCTTCCTTCTTTAATTAAAATGGAGTAAGAATTTAGATACTTGTTTTTTTCTTTTTTTCCTTTTTTAATGTTTTTATTTATTTTTGAAAGAGAGAGAGAGAGAAAGAGAAAGAGAAAGAGGAAGAGAAAGAGGAAGAGAAAGAGAAAGAGAAAGGGAAAGACAGAGCACGAGCTGGGTAGGGGCAGAGAGAGAGGGAGACACAGAATCTGAAGCAGGCTCCAGGCCCTGAGCTGTCAGCACAGAGCCTGATGCAGGGCTCAAACTTGTGAATTGTGAGATCATGACCTGGGCTGAAGTCTGATGCTCAACCTACTGAGCCACCCAGGCGCCCCTAGATACTTGTTAATCAGTGTGAATACAGACTAGGTTTTCTCTTCCATTATTTTGGATTATCTCACCTTCACTTGATTTGACAAGCAATCGTGTGTGTATCTTTCTGCTCACCTATAATCTTTTCAAAGCATTCAGCTTAGTTTTTACTGGAAAAGAACTTCCTTTGGCAATATAATCTTTCATAATACTATTACTTAGAAAAATAAGGAAACCTGCATAATTGGATTTGGTAGTAAATGTGATCTGGCTATCGATAAGCCTATATCTCAGTTGGTGGGAGCAGAAATATACAGGTGCAGGTATTCTTAATGACTGTCCGTATCCACAATGGCCATAGTTCATTGACCACAGGCATCATTCATCAGACTTTACTGGCAGAATGGAAAATGTCAGATAAGTCAGGTTTTCTTTCTTTCTTTTTTTTTTTTTTTTAAGCTGTTTTGGATACTTCTATTGCTTTTTTCTTGCTACAAATAGCACTACATTGAATTTTCCTGTATATATATTTTGTAACCATGTGCTTGTATATCTCTCAGAATGAGTTACTAGATATGATTTGTTGGGTCAAAGATTATGTGCATATAAAAACTTGATAGCTATGGTCAAATTGCCTCCATGGAGTTTGTGCAAGTATATACTTGGGTGATGTATGAGAGTATGTCTTTTGTCACATCTTTACAAACCCTAGTATGGTATCAAATTCTTTACTATTTACCTGTCTTACTCTCTTATTGGTGAAAACACGTATGTCTGGAGTTCCCCAGACTGCTCCCAGGTTTGATGATTTGCTAAGAGGACTCACAGAACTCATGTAGTTGTACTTATTTAGTATGATATTGGCTTATTTTTGTATAAAAATTAATTTGTATTTTGGTCTATTTTATAAAATTAGTATCATTTACTTTGTGACATGGTTTAGCCATAATAAGTAAGCTTAAGCTTTTGGAAAACAGTAGGCACTTTTTTTGAAGTGATGGTAGAGAGTGAACTTATTCATTGTGTCCACATTTAAAAATTGCTGTTTTTAAAAACGATTTTTTTAAATGTTTACTTTTGAGAGAGAAAGAGAGGGAGACACAGTGCAAGCAAGGCAGGGGCAGAGAGAGAGGGAGACACAGAATCTGAAGCAGGATCCAGGCTCTGAGTTGTCAGCACTGAGCCTGATGCGGGGCTTGAACTCGTGAACTGCAAGATCACGGCCTGGGCCGAAGTAGGACACTTAACCGACTGAGCCACCCAGGTGCCCCTAAAAATTGCTTTTTAACTGAAAGCTAGGTTTATTCTCTGAATTGTGAGGTTGATTTTAACAATGGAAAAATCTTTATATTTCATGCTTTAGATGGCGACTGTCAAAAGGAAATAGGATCATGGCAGCAGATGATGACAATGGTGATGGAACAAGTTTATTTGATGTCTTTTCTGGTAAGACCTGTCTTTCTGAACTGTCTTTCTAAGTGTATTTAATTGCAAAATCATTTATTCTCATTGAAAACACTGTTATCAACTCTTTCTTCCCACACATAAATGAATTAACGTAGTAAGGTGCCTGGCAAATAGGAAATGTTTAGTAAATGTGAGCTTTCTTATTATTACAGGGCTTTTAAGGCTCTCAAATATAATGAAATTAACAACTTTGTCAATATGAGTGGTAATGATATTTATTTTTCTATCCAAAGAAATATAAAATAGGTATTTGTTACTCTTGAGTAAGTTGAATACATTATGGTCCTTTACTCCCAAATACTTAAGTGTGTATTTCATAAGAAAAACTTGGGTTTTTTAATATAAGAACACAATTATCAAAATTTCAGTAAATTTAACATTGATATAATACTTTTATTTAATCTGCTATTTTTGTTCCTGTTTTACCAGGTAACCCCAACATTTTCTTTATTATTATGATTGGATTTTAATCTATCATTTTAATACTTTTAGTTTTTCTCATCTTTTTTTTTTCCTTCTGATTTTCTTACCTTCTTTCAAATGTTGAATATATTTTAGAATTTTGTTCTAATTTATATATTAGCTTTTTGGGCTACAACACCTCTTTGCATTATTTTTTAGTGGCTGCTTAAGGGATTGGAGTATACCTCTTTAACATTTTGTAGTCTACTTCCTAGTATTGTACTTTTTCACCTAAGATGTAGAATCTTGTATGTATAGTTTTATTTAACCTTCATCCATCCTTTTATGTTAAAGATGCCATAAACCTCATGATACAGAGCTTCAATTTTGACTTTATATCATTCTATGTATCTTTAAAAACTTAAGAGGAATTAAAAGAAATTAAGAAAAATTTATTTATATTTACTCTGTTATTTATCGTTTCTAGTCCTAGTATCCTCTAATAGCTTTTCAGTATCATTTTCCTCCCCATTCTCTCTTTTCCTCTTGGACTGCATATATACAGTATGTGAGAACTTTTGATATTACTAAGGTTACTAAGACATTTGTTGTTGTTTATTTGTTTTAAATCTTTTTCTCTCTATTCTTCAGATTGGGTAATTTTTATTGATTTACCTTCAAGTTCACTGGCTCTATTGTTAAGCACCTTCAGTGAAAATTTTTTTTCTTTTTTTTTTTTGCATTAGATATTGCACTTTTCACTTTTAGGATTTTCATTCTTTGCTTGTTTGTTTTAGTTTGTTATTTTTTATTTATTTAATTTTAGTAATCTCTACATCCATTGTGGGGCCCAAACTCATGACCCCAAAATCAAGAGTTGCACTCCACCAACTGAGCCTGCCAGGCATCCCTCATTCTTTGTTTTAATGGTTTCTGTTTCTCTGCCAAGATTTCCTATGTAGTAATTTTGGATTGCATTCTGGGTGCTCAATTCTGTTATGTTCTAGAGACACTGGATTATGCTATATTGTTTTTACTTTTAGCAAGTATTTAACTTGGCTGAACTTAAACTTCTGTCTTACCTGTAGTGGATAGCAGCTGAAAATCTGTTCAGATATTTTAGCTTTAACTGGACATTTTGGAGTTCTCACCTTTACTTATGTAGTTTGGAGGTCACTTGGAGATTTGGGCACAAATCGGGGAATACTCTTTCTGGATTTTCTTTCTTAGTTTCTAGTTGCTGTTATCATTCCCCATTTTTTTTCTCTCATTATTCAAACTTTTAGGACCAGAGGTTTCCATCTAAGCTTTCACTGCTCATTGTGGCTCCAACTAGGGCTTATCCTTCTACAAAAAATTTTAATAAAGGGGGATAGGGAATGCATACAAGACTGTTTTCTCCTTTCAGGTGTTGTCTCCCATTCAGTTTTTGCCCTCTTTGGATTGTTTTTAGATTTTCAGATTGCCTTTTTTTTTCTTATTTAATTGAGGTATAATTATACTTATAACATCCTATTAGTTTCAGGAATACAACATAATGATTCAGTATTTGTATATAATGTGAAATGATCACCACAGTGACAGTCTAGTGGCAGAGCATTTGACTACAGATAGCTTTTAATAATTTGCTTAGAGTTTATAGTTGTTATCAGCAGGAGGATTGGTCTGATAGAACCACTCTGCTATTATTGGAATTGGAACCTTCTCACAAGTTTGTTTTTGAAAGTGAGTTTTTAAGTCTAAATCTTATGTAATAGAGTCATAAATCTGTGTATTGAGATCTTTCTATTTATAAGGATGTTTAAAAATTGTAAACAATTGTGTTTTTTGGTATAAGACTAATAAAGTCTCTGTCTTTTTCTGGATTAGAAAAACTTCACTAACTTCATAAAGTCAGTTTTAATTATCTTTGATTTTCCTGCAGCTTCTCCTCTTAAAAATAATGATGAAGGTTCTTTGGACATATATGCTGGGTTGGACAGTGCTGTTTCTGGTATGTAAATTTAAAATAAAAGTTTCATTTTCTTTGGTCAGTGTACTGGAAGTATTTATTTTGTTGTTGCCAATTCTTGGAGTAATACATAGTTCCTGAACAATTTGCCCATTCTTTGAAATGGTTATACTTAGGTAATTATTTTTTTGACCAAAGTTTGATCACTAAAACAAATTAGCACTCAGTTTTGCTATTCATCTAGTCTTAGATGTAACTGGACCTAGAGCAGGTATATTTTGTACATTGAAATGCAGCTGCTGGTGGGGTCTATACATATATTACTGCTCATACTGTCATGGCTTACATATTAGAACTTTTGAAAAGGGTAGTTACTATAAATGTTTTCAAATGTATCAGTAAGAGGTGCCTGGGTGACTCAGTTGGTTGGACATCCAACTTTTTGGTTCAGGTCATGATCTCGTGGCTTGTGAGTTCGAGCCCTGCATTGTGAGTTCGAGGCCCTGTGAGGCCTCTATGCTGACAGGTCAGAGCCTGGAGCCTGTTTCAGATTCTGATCTCCCTCTCTCTCTCTGCCCTTCCCCCATTTGTGCTTGCTTGCTTGCTGGCTCTCTCTCTCTCTCTCTCTCTTTGTCTCACTATCTCTCTCAAAAATAAACATTAAACAAACAAACCAACAAACAAACAAATGTATCAGTAAGAGTGGTATGGAGAGAGTCTAATGACCTATCCAAATTAGAAACCTTTCCATAATCAAATCTCTCAAAGCTTTGAACAAATATGGTCCTCACATCTGATTTGTTGTCATAAGTATTTTAGGTAAATTGGCTTTCCAGCCAATCAGTATAGATTTGGATGAAATGCAGGAGATGCAGAAATATATAGCCCTTTGATTTGCAGTAGACACAACATCAAAAAGCTTGACACATATTTTCTATTTTACCCACCTTTATTGAGATATAGTTAACACATAACATTGTGTAAGTTTAAGTATTGATTTGATACACTTATATGTTGCAAAATGATTACCACTTTAGCCTTAGCTAAATTATGTGACATAATTACCTGCATCAATTATGTGATATAATTAGCCTGAATCAATTTTGTGACATAATTACCATCTCTCTTTTGTGGTGAGAACATTTAAGATCTATTCTCTTAGCAACTTTTAAGTATGTAATACACACAGTATGATTAACTATCATCACTCTGCTCTGTTTTAGATCCCTAAACCTTATTTATCTTATAGCTAGAAGTTTATATTCTGGTTTTTTAAAGTTTGTTTATTTATTTATTTATTTATTTATTTATTTATTTATTTATTTAGAGAGCACAAGTGAGCATGAGCAGGGGAGGGGCAGAGAGAGAGGGAGAGAGAGAATCCCAAGTAGGCTCTTCCCTGTCAATACTGAGCCTGATGTGGGGCTAGAACTCACAAACCATGAGATCATGACCTGAGCTGAAATCAAGAGTGCTCAACCAACTGAGCCACCCAAGGGCCCCTGGAAGTTCATACTCTTTGATCAATATCTCTTCTGTCACCCCAGCCCCTGGTAACCACTGTTTTAGTCTGTTTCTATGTATTTGGCATTTTTATGTTTCACATACAAGTTGGTGTCATGTGCTATTTGTCTTTCTCTTTCTGACTTATTTCAATTAGCATAATGCCTGCAAGGTCTGTCCATGTTAGTGCAAATGGCAGGAGGTCCTTCTTTCTCATGGTTGGATAATATCCCATTGTATACATATGCCACATCTCTTTTAACTATCTGTTAATGAACACTTTGGTTGTTTCCATATGTTGGCTATTATGAATAATGCTGCAGTGAACATGGGTGTGCAGATATCTCTTTGAGATCCCGGTTTGTTTTTTTTTAAGTTTTTATTTATTTATTTAGAGAGAGAGAAAGAGAGGAAAAGAGAGAAATTGAGTGGGGAAGGGGCGGGGGGGGGGGCAGAGGATCTGAAGTGGGCTCTGCACTGACAGCAAAAACCCTATATGGGGCTCAAACCCATGAACTGTGAGATCATATTTATGACTCTATTACATATTAGTTTCAGGCATACAACATAATTATTCAGTATTTGTATATAATGTGAAATGATCACCATAGTAATAGTCTAGTGGTAGAGCATTTGATTACAGATAGCTTTCTGTACACTGCAGAGAGCCTGATGCAGGGCTTGAACCCATGAACCACTTCCACTTGAGCCGAAGTTAGGCGCTTAACCAATTGAGCCACCCAGGTGCCCTAAGATCCTCTTTTTATATCCTTTGGATTAATACCCAGAGGTGGGATTACTGAATCATATTTCTATTTTTAAGTTTTTGAGGAACCTCCATAGTGTTTTCCATTGTAGCTGCACTGGTTTACATTCCCACCAATCTTGCACAAGTATTCTATTTTCTCCACATCCTTGCCAACACTTGTTATCTCATGGTTGTTTTTTTTGGTTTTTGTTTTTTTTTTAATCGGGGAGGTCTCTGATAACAGCAGTCTTTACTGAACATTTACTTACTAAGTGTGGCAAGTGTTTGGTGCTTTTTATTTTTTACTTACTCATTTATTTTATTGAAGTATAGTTGACATACAGTGTTATATTAGTTTCAAGTATACAAAATAGTGATTTGACAATTCTGTACCTAATGCAGTGTTCATCATGGTAAGTGTAGTTACTATTTGTCACCATACAAAGTTATTACAATATTATTGATTATATTCCCTATTCTATAGCTTTTATCTCCTCTTTTTGGTGATAGCCATTCTAGCAGGTGTAAGGTGTTATCTCATTGTGATTTTGATTTGCATTTCCCTAACAGTTAGGTTGAGCACTTTTCCATGTTCCTGTTGGCCATTTGTATGTCTTTGGGAAAATGTCTATTCAGTTTCTCTGCCCATTTTTCTGTCAGATTTTTTTTTTTTTTTTTTTTTTTTTTTTTTTTTTTTTTTTTTTTTTTTTTTTTTTTTTGCTGTTGAGTGTATGAGTTCTTTATATATTTTGGATATTAACCCTATGTCAGATACTTAATTTGCAAATATTTTCTCCCATTCTGTGGGTTGCCTTTCACTTTGTTGATGGTTTCCTTTCCTGTGCTGCAGCTTTGTAATTTGACGTAGTCCTACTTGTTATTTTTGCTATTGTTTCCCTTGTTTTTGGTGTCAAAGCCAGAAAATCTTTGCCAAGACTGATGTCTAGGAGCTTACCCCCTTCCTTTTTTTTTTCCCTAAGACTTTTTGGGTCTCACATTTAAATCCCATTTGGAATGCAAGCTGGTGCAGCCACTCTGGAAAACAGTATGGAGGTTCCACAAAAAACTAAAAATAGAACTACCTTACGGGCCAGCAATTGTACTACTAGGCATTTATCCATGGGGTACAGGTGTGCTGTTTCGATGGGACACATGCACCCTCATGTTTATAGCAGCACTATCAACAATAGCCAAAGTATGGAAAGAGCCCAAGTGTCCATTGATGGATGAATGGATAAAGAATATGTGGTATATATATACAATGGAGTATTAGCAGTAATCAAAAAAAGAATTTGGTAACTCAGTGGAGGAACTGGGTATACCATGCTCAAGTGAAATTAGTCAGAGAAGACACACATGACTATTCTATCGCAAGGACTTTAAGAAAACAAAACAGATGAACGCCTAAGGAAGGGAAACAAAGCAATATAAAAACAGGGAGAGGACAAAACAGAAGAGACTCATAAATATGGAGAGAACAAACTGAAGAGAGAGACACTTTGGAGGGTTGTGTGAAAAAGGAGGGGATAGATAAATGGGGTAAAGGGGCACTAAGGAATCCACTCCTGAAATCATTGTTGATGATATATCCTAACTAATTTGGATGTAAATTTAAAAAAATAAAAAAAAAAAACCATTTGGAGTTGATTTTTGTGCATGGAGTAAGATAGGGGTCCAGTTTTCTCAATACCATTTATGGAAAGAGCTTATCTATTCCCCATTGTACATTCTTAGCTTGTCTGTCATACATAAATTTACTGTATTTATTTCTGGGTTCTGTATTCTCCATTGATCTGTTTATCTGTTTTAATGCCAATAGCATACAGTTTTGATTACTATAGCTTTGTATTATAATTAGAGATCAGGAAATGTGATGCCTGCAGCTTTGGTCTTCTTTTTCAGGATAGCTTTTTTTTTTTTTTAATTTAAAAAAAAAAATTTTTTTTTTTAAGTGTTTATTTATTTTTGAGACAGAGAGAGACAGAGCATGAACGGGGGAGGGTCAGAGAGAGGGAGACACAGAATCTGAAACAGGCTCCAGGCTCTGAGCGGTCAGCACAGAGCCCGACGCGGGGCTCGAACCCACAAACCGCGAGATCATGACCTGAGCCGAAGTGGGACGCTTAACCGACTGAGCCACCCAGGCGCCCCAAGATAGCTTTTTTATTTGCAGTCTTGTCATTTCATACGAATTTTAGGATTGTTATTTCTATTTCTGTGAAAAATGACATTGGAATTCTGATAGGGATTGCATTGAATCTCAAAGTACATGTTTTAATTTAAGGGCTTTTTGTATGTTTGTTTTAGACAGTGCTTCCAAATCGTGTGTACCATCCAGAAATTGTTTGGATTTATATGAAGAAATCCTGACTGAAGAAGGAACTGCAAAGGAGGCAACATATAATGATGTATGGGTTGCCAGAATTAAGGACAGAGTTATTTTAACCTTTTGTAGCTTCTGAAGTGCAGACATCAGCTTATTATTAAACATTCTGTGTTGAAGAAATAGCTCTTAGTCTAAAAGAATATTTAAGTTTCTGTCTTCAGATCTGCTTTTTAAAATCTTTTCTGAATGTTTGTCTAAATTTAGTTATAATTTGCTTGATTAAATTTAAGCAAATATATAAAATCTCAACAGGCAGTCAGTATGATAAAACATTTTATCTTTTCATGATTTGTACTAAGTTATAAAATGTCCCAAGACTTAATTCAGATGAATTTCTTTCTACCTTATTTGAATTTTAAGGTCTGGAGATTGAATGTGAAACTTAACAAGATGTGTTTTGGTTGAGACAATGTTAAAAACTAGTAGTTTTACTAAATATCTGTTAGTAGAAATAGATCTTGTCTAACCTTCGTAGGGGGTTGATTTTCTAAATTTTAAAATATTCTGAAGTGTCATATAAGCTAAGAAAATAATTTAGGATGATGCTTAATCTTTTTATATCTTACAGTTGCAAGTAGAATATGGTAAATGTCAGCTGCAAATGAAAGAGCTGATGAAAAAGTTTAAGGAAATACAGACACAGGTAGGATTATAATGAGTATTTTTGCCTCTCTGTTTTCTTTTACTGCTCCAGTCATTGAAGGGAAGTTTTATTGAGGCCCTAGGGCCTTTTGTGTTATTTTAAAATCAAAATGTAATAATTTTTTTTTGTTAGAAATTAAAATGCTGAAGTGTTGGTGGTTTATAAGGAAATTCTTCTTTTTAGTGTTAAATGATGTACCAAATATGCAAAAACATGCATTATTTTCTGTGTCACTGAAAATGATATTGGAAAACTGATTTGTTAAATGGCACTGGCATAAAAATCTGTTACGCTAGTTAACAAATAATAGAACATTAATGGAGATGATACCAGGTATTTTTTTGTTTTTTGTTTTTTTGTTAATTTATTTTGAGAGAGAGAACACAAGTTGGGAGGGGCAGAGAGAGAGGGAGGGAGAGAGAGGGAGAATTCTAAGCAGGCCCTGTTCTATCAGCGTGGAGCCCAATATGGGGTTTGAACCCATGAACTGTGAGATCATGGCATGAGCCGAAATCAAGAGTTGGACGCTTTGAGTGACTGAGCCACCCAGGAGCCCCGATACCAGGTGTTTTAAAAGGGAATGGTTTGAGGAGCAAAGATTTAGAATGGCTGTCGGGGGAAGGTGGTGATACCCTCATATTTTTGCAAGAGTGACTTTTTTGGTGAGCATGCTGCAGAATACAGGAATGTCATGTCTTGTTTTGATATTTATTTATTTATTTATTTATTTAT